ACACCCTACATTTTTATTGTTTCCACGCCATCATGCATTAAAGGCTTAGAAAACCCAAATTGTAAAAAGTTTCCAAATATTGGAATAAGAGTATTTATATAGGCAGTTATAAAAACATGGTAAGGAAAAGTACTAAACAGGACATCTTGTTTTCTCTCGTCTAGTGGTAAATTACTCCCCCTCGAGGACAAACTGTGCACTGATTGAGGTCCAACTTGAGTCCAGTTTTTCTTGACAAATAACCAGCCCACTATTTGTGAGCTGATGTTAGCATTTAGATGTGCAAAGAAAACACAGACAACTTGCACTCCATTAACTGAATGTTTAATATTTTAAAGAAATAATAACCTTCATTTGGAGAAAGCCTGACATAAAGTGTTTTATCTGACATCCAGATGAAATGCTCTCAACGTGATTGACTGAAAATTCAATGAGGAACACATACATGTGTTTAGCCAACAGATGAAAAAAAAAAATCCCTTCTTAAATTAAAAAAAAAAAAAATCCACCTGACAAAGAATATTGGCAGAAACTAGCAAACCTGCTGCGTGATTTACAAGGAAAATTGCAGTGTTAATAAGTGTGGTGTATTAAATATATTTAGCTTGGCACAATATTATATGAGAGGAGTGAAATGATCAAAATAAAGACTGACATAATGTGAAGGAAGCAATTTTTCCTCTATAAATAAGAACATTATTCACTAGAGAGCTATAGTTGTATAACAAAGGATCATAACCAACATCTTTGACTTGATTAGATAAATTAAATGGCAAGAGAAGACATAAATATAAAGGAGGGAACACAGTGGTCCATCTTCAGTTTGGAGTTGATGCAGAGTCCCTGTGGTCTGACAATTCAAGGGATTAAAGGAGTGCTACTGAATATGAGGGAATACACAATTCAAGTATTGAAGACTAGTGTAAACAAGTCTCTGTACTACATAATTACTGTAGTAGGAATATTGCAAATGATCATGTGTGCTGATATCGCTCTAAGTGAGAAGTATTGGATGTTAACTATCGAGTCTGCTGTGAACTGCTGGATTTGAACATCTTCGCTACATCCTGGAATGTTTTTGGGTGACATGAACAAGGGGAGATACTTTTACGGTGCTCCATCTGGAATCCACAGTACTTTACTCTGTTCCTGCTCCACGATGGTCATGATCTGAGTGCAAATGTAGGAGACGCTGCCTCCCTGGACAATACCTGCAATACAGTTGGGAAGAGGGTGGTATTTTTGTGGTTAACACATCCCATTGAAAGTTCTTTGATTTTTTCCATTCAGTCACTCAGCTCCCAGACCAATGTGATTTTTTCTTATTTTTGCATAATCCAAGCTCTACCGATTTTCAATTATATCAAGCATGTAATGAGACTAATGTTGACACCACCCTACAGAGCTGTGGAAATAAAAGACTTCCAGTTGTAAACTGTGAAGACAAACTGGTATAAGCTGTCTATCAACAGATACTTTTAATGAAAGTGCTGATAAATATAATCACAATCGTGGCATGTGTGCAGAAGTTGGGCGGCCAACTCTCCCTAATAGAAGGGATCAGTTGTGGTATGTGTTCATTGCAAAAGCCCTTGTGTATAAGTCGCCTCCTTTTCTAGTCATTAATCAGGCAGACAGTTGGGTGTCAGACTGTCTGCTGCTCCAGATACCAGAACTTTAACTCTGATTTCTTAAAGAACACACATACAGTGCTCCCAATACCTCCTCTTTAAGACTAAACTCGGAATAACATGAAATAAATACACTTAAAAACAAATCTCAGAGACTATCACCAAAGATTTTGGACATACAGCAATAAATGCCATTAAACAGTTTGTGTCTGATTATTGATGAACTGAGTTTTAAGCCCGAGGTGAAAAAATGGTTACAAAAATACACCTTTCTTTGTAAACTGGGATTCAGTTTGCAGTTACACATTTCTGTGTACTGTAGGTGTGGTTAAGGTTACAATAATTAGAATTATAAAGCCTGTATACAAATTAACATCGAGTGAACATAAGCCTATCCCACCAACCTGTGAAGAAGCGGCTGTAGTCCTGCTCTATTTTCTGCGCTGCCTCAAACTGCTCCCTGGAATGTTTCTGAGACACTTTATCCCGCAGGTACAAAGGGTCCTTCTGCTCTCTGAGGAAACATCAGCCCTGTCAGCCTGCTACAAAACCTCATTTCAAACACTCAAAGTGTCAGATTCTTGATGTCAACATGTCAACAAAACGGTCACAATTTCCATATTTTGGATTACTAAAAATCTGCAGACATGTTTATAACAGTAATAATAGTGTGTGGATATTTTAATACATCTTGAACATTGCTAAATACAAATTTTAGAGTGAATTTATTTTATACAAAAAATGTGAATACATTTATCCCAATTCAACTGGATATAAATTATTCATGTTTCTGGGCTGCTACTGCCAACATTAACTTAAATGAAAACCATTTTCCTGGAAATTCTACTGGCAGTAATAGACAAGAAAGTCTTTTTGGATAAATCAGCAAAGTTAACAAGGATCAACTACCCTTATTAACATTTTATCAAAATAAAAATAAAAAAATACTCAGAAGTTGACTAAAGTAACTATAGATGCAATTTAAAGGAGATTTCTACTAGTTTTTACAGCAAAATTCTCATTTCTGCCAACAAATCTAACAGCTTCAGTGAAATCTCCCTACTTTAAACCCATCCATCCCACTCAGTACCCACGACCGCACACAGCCTTGAGAATTCATGTGTTTACCAGTCTTCATCTTTTACCTCTGACTTAACCTAGAATACCACTGTCTCTCTCCTTTCACTCATTATGCAGTCAACATTTTGGTCTGCTGATGCTTCTCAGAGGATAGAAACCCATGAAAAACCTTGGGCTCCTGTCAGTTGCTGCAGCAGGCAGTGGGAGGTGTGTTTTTGTGTACATGGAAGCTGAGGCCGGCAGGGCATCGTGTGTTTTTAGCCACCCACACCACGAAGCGGAGCCACAGGCCTCGTGAGCCCCTCCCAGGACAGCTGGCACTCAGCTGATGACAGCGAAGGCTTAGCAGGAATCAATCTGAACCATGTTTGCCTGCTGCACCGTTTCATAGATTTATGGACGCGTGTGTGTACGTGCGTGGTGGAAAAAGCCTGTTCCTGCCCGACCCGAGTTTGCCCTGATTTGCATGCGTTTGTGTGCGCATGTGCATGAAGCACCATGCCGAAGGTTCAGAAGATTTAATCTTCCCACGGATTACAAATGAAAAAGCAGAGGATCTGTGAGCCATCACCATCAGTCGATGAAAACAGGTGGTGGAAGAGAGCACGTCGTGTCTTCGCAACTAATGATGCTGATCAAATTTTGGTTGATCAATTCGTTTTGTTATGGATGGAGGGCAAATGTGATTATAAAACCAGCAAGATGCCAATTTCCCAAGCAACTGTCTCAAGCCAGATAAAATTAAGCATAATCAAGAATAATCAGTCCTTCAAGCGAGAATGGCTTTAAAAATGGGGAAACTTTAAGTAATCTTTAAATAATTCTTTATGACCTGACATTTTTAGATTACATATTGATTTAATGCCCAAGTAGTTATTTGCAAAATAGAAACAGATTATTACTTTAGTTCAGAATATACGGATGAGTTTTGTTCATGAATGTGGCTTTATTTGAAAATGCTATGGCCCACATTTTCCCTTTCTTCTCAGAAACAGCCTCCAGAGGCAAAAGCTTTGGATGAGTTCTCTCTGTATGTTGTTCAAGGTTTTGAGCTTGACAAATAACTGGGTAAACAAAACTGATACCACAACACAAAGCATGCTCAACATGTCTGACAGGTGGAAATAAAAGAAAAAATTTAAAAGTCAAAGCAGGCATGAAATTACTCACTTTATCTGCTTGGCATTTTTGTAGCGGATGAATATGATGATTGGGTAGATGTGAACCATGTGAAGACGTTCAATGGCGTGAGGGGCAATGTCAAGTAAGCAGTGACAGTCCTATGAGAGAAGACAACATGAGAAATGGGAGATGTTTAAAAAAAAAAAGAACACTGCAGAAAATATCAAGTATTTATTTTCACACTCTGTGCGTTTAAAGACTTCTAGCAGTTTATGGGATATCAACAACAACATAAATGTCAACATCAAAAAATAAAGGTTCTTTGAAAATATGTAGCCAATCAAGTTACTTTAATCAGTTTGGAAGTTTGGCTGTATTGCATTATTTGGAATGCAGCTGAAATTCCTCTGAAGATTGTAAGAAAAGTTGTAAAGACAGCAGTGCATAAACTTGGCAGCTGTAAAACTTCAAGATACAACTGCTATTGGTGCAGGGTCATAAATGTGTCATTTCTGGACAAGCAAATCACTAAATAATGCAGATTAAGGTTATTTTAAATTTACCTTTTCTGTGATTTCTTTTATTGAGGCGACTGTTGTCACGTCAAAATGCCCACTCCTCCGTTTGTAATCAATGAACACAC